TTAGCTTATCGGTTGCTTAGAAACCAGTCAGAAAAACCTTGGTGAAGGTCCTCGACCTGACAGTCCCAAGCCCTCAGATTTTGGGCAAATCCCTTCAATGTCAGGAATTTTATGAAACCCAGTATACCCAATCCACAGATCTAATGGCATAATGCATGCAAAGTTGAGCACAATGTCTGGCTGAGAGCAAATGCTCAGAAAGACTGCTTTCCCAGGGATCCCAGCCAGGAAATACCATTTTAGAAGACAGTCCTTTTCCAATGTGGCATGCCATTTCCTGGGTAGAGGGATTCAGATGCAGGAGTCAAGTGGAGCCTGCAGTTTATTAAATCATTGTGATGAAGGTCACTGGCAATAAGGCAGCTCTGCTTTTAAATGACAAGCTAAGCCATTTTCCCATTGTAAGAGCTCATCTGGGAAACATAACATATTGCAATGATGCCTCAATTAGTTGGAATTACTGGGTATTGTGCAGATGTGGTGTTTTAGTTAAAAGTATTCTTCGGATTACTGAAATTTAATTAAATCCCTAAATATGCAATGCTCAAATTTTATGCAAATCAGGTATCTCTTCTGCAACATTGTTCATCCCAAATAAAATCTAGCCAGAGAGTTTGATACAGAGGGGCAAGAAAGTGGCAAGATCATTCTCAGGACTTTGTCCTGAGTCATCAGTTGGACAACAGTTTTTAGCACCGTAATATTTAAACAATTGAAAATTTCATAGTTTTGGGATAGCGTATGGCTCTAAAAAGACTTCTCATTCAAAACAAAAGAAAATATTTGTACCAACAGGAAAAAAAAATCTCTGCCTTAAACTGCATCCCCGGAGAAATGTTTTGAGATACTTGTAGTAGTTAAATATTTCAGATACTTAAGATTTTATGTTATGAACACATACAGATAGCAGGCAATCAAACTGTCCTTCATTTGCAATAAAATGGACTCAGTTGATTCTGAGACTGACCAGAAGAGAAAGTGACAGGCACTGTCAAAAGAGACTTGCTCTGTCAGTATTTTGACACTTAGGGAGGTAGATTAAACCATAATTTTCTGAAAAACCAAAGAATTCTCCTTTAGGTTTATGATTTTCAGGTACTTAATCAAATATATTATCAATAATCAGTAATTTTACATATTCTTTCTGATTTTTTAAGATTTTATTTATTTATTTATTTATTTGAGAGGAGTGGGGAGGAGCAGAGGAAAAAGGGCAAGCAGACTCCGAGCTGAGCTCCAAGCCCAACGTGGGGCTGGATCTCACGACCCTGAGACTGTGACCTGAGCTGAAATCAAGAGTCAGGTGCTTAACTGACTGAGCCACCCAGGTGCCCCCATATTCTTTCTGATTCTGAATAACCCCAGCAAAAACTGCAAGAAATTGTATTTGCTTATGCAAACCCTTCTGTGTTCCAAAGGGGAGGAATAAGAGTTAGAAAATGAATCTTTATTATCATTTACTTCCTTTTTATGTATTTAGAACCACTTATGCTCTTTTTTTTATTATTATGTTATGTTAATCACCATACATGACATCGTTAGTTTTTGATGTAGTGTTCCATGATTCATCGTTTGCGTATAACACCCAGTGCTCCACGCAGAACGTGCCCTCTTTAATACCCATCACCAGGCTAACCCATCCCCCCACCCCCTCCCCTCTAGAACCCTCAGTTTGTTTCTCAGAGTCCATCGTCTCTCATGGTTCGTCTCCCCTCCGATTTCCCCCCTTCATTCTTTCCTTCTTATGCTATCTCTCGAGTTCCTGTCAAGGCACTGCTCAGCATTTTTATTTAACTCCAAATACTTAAAATTATTAAAAGCCTGATTTAATAGGGCACTGGTTCTTGAACATCTTCCTGAAGGCTGACATTTGATGTGATGTGCAGAGGGCCATTTCCTCTGACACTTAACACAAATTTTTTGAACCATTACTGTCATTTATTTTTTCAGTAAATTACAGTAGGAGCCCATACGTAAAGGGGCGGGTCTGTGCGCTCCATGGAGCGGGGATGGCAGTTTTGGGTGCCCGCCATGGTAGGCTCCGTGGAACTTCACTGCAGCATGAGTTAGACCCTCACGATATTCCAGCCTGGGGTTCGGAGTTCCTCAGAGCTGGGTGCCTTCTCTATGGCAGTTTCTGAAAGGCAGAATGTTTGGGAGGCTACTGTGATTTGGAACCCTTGGGCTGTGGACCTCATCATTCTCAACTCGAAGATGTCCTCATCCAATCATTTGTTCACTCACTCATTCATTCATGCGGGTGTGCCAGCCAATGGGGACCAGAGAGGAACGAGGTCCTCCCTGACCTTAAGCAGCTCTCCAAACCACACAGGAGGTGCAAGCAGACGGAAGGTAGAACCCATGGGATGGGGGCCTCACTGAGCTGTCACCAAGAGTGAGGGTCACACAGGGGCTCAGACAGTTACTCCCAGAGTCATGCAGGACTGGATGGGGGGGCGTGGGGGGGTGTCACAAACAGTGTCGTCAATGACAGTGAAGGAGGAGGGGGATGCCAACTGTGGGCACGTGAACGGCCTGTTGGAACAGGGGCAAAGTGGGGGTGACAGCCTGCAGCCAATGCTGAACGGCCTTGGGAGTCCAGTGGGTCTCGGTTGACATGCAGTGGGCCATGGGGAACCTTCACCAGGCTTGAAATTTTAAAAATTTGAAACTTTTCCTTGGTGAAAGACATGGCTGAAATAAAAAGGGAAGATTGTGTTGTTTATTTTGTTCATTAGAAAAGATATGTCACAGAAGTGTGGCTTATACAATAATTAGACAAACAATATCTAGCTCTAGTGTGACCTTTAGTCTCCAGAGTGCCCGGGACCTTTCAGAGGTCGAGAGTCTAAAATGGCTGTTTTCCCACCAAAGCCCCGGCACCCTTCTGCTCTCCGTCTCCTCTCTCCCCTGAGTGCATCTTTTACTTCTGTCGGTTGTCCTGTGACCATGGATGAGTTTCCAGTTCGCTCCTCCCATGACCCTGGTATTTCTAGCCTGCTGACTGGGGCGGGACTCCCTCTCTGGGTTCATGTGATTTCTCTTTCTTTCTTTACCTCCTTCTCTCTTTCCCTTTCTGGTCCGTTTCCTTACACAAAATGCAGATCTGGGGCTTTTACACCATAAAATCGAGGCGTATTTCATGCAGCATATTGTCCTTTGCATATACTTTGGATTGTAGATAAAAGCATACAGTTTAGTGGAATCAGTGATGCACTTTCATTACGTAATCAGGCCAACGTGAAATGACAAGCCAGCGAACGGGGGTCCTTACCTCGGTCAGACTGTTAAATCATCCGGACACCTGTCTGCACGCTGACAGGCCCCACAGCATTGGCCCGCTGCTCCGAGAGAAACCACTGCTCCATGAACCGTGCATTACGACCAGCTCATGATCTAACGGAAGCAAGGCTTTCTGTCCATAGCCCACAGCGTGTCCATTCTTTCAACATTAAGAAGAAATTTAACTGCAATTTACCGACTTTTGCCTTTTTTCTCCACTGGAGACAGAAAGGAGGCCATGCCTAGAAAGTCTCAAAAGTTTCCATTTTTGGGTGTACAAGCTCTGTGGACAGACACCTGTCTCAGGCAGGACCCAGAAAGCTTTAGGGGCCACAGGAATAGCTGGCCTTTCTCAGTGGCAAAGTGTGAGACTGTGCCGAGCCCGTGGATGAAGCCTCACAGAGCCTTTAATTTGAGACAGAGTGAGTCAGCATTCCGTCTGTAGAATGGCCGGGATGCGTACAGGGTCACGGCTTGCTGAGTGCCTTTGATAGTACAGTGTGTGATGCTCGCTGCTGGTGGATATGCTCGCCAAGAGGAACGCCACCCCTTCCCACACTGCCCGGCCTGCGCTGTCTGTGCGGCTCCGCTGGAGCCAACCACTGGCTGGGGTATAAGAGCTCGCACAAAGGGGCTGTGGCATCGGCACTGAAGAGAGCAGCCACCCTGACAACCAGGAGCCTTTTTTGTTCTAGATGCAGCTCCCTTTACAAAAGAGCTGCTCCCAGGAGGAAAACACCAGCAACAGGTGTGCTGCGTTAGGTCTTGAATGGTTTTAGGGGCCTGTCACTTGAGGACCCCACTGTGGTTGTTGGCTTGGCTTCTCCCCTGAGTGCGAATGCAGGGGAAAAGGGTGAGAGCAGAGGAGAGGGAACCTCAGACCTGGAAGAGCCAGTGCAACTCACACAAGTTTGGACCCGACAAGAGCACTCTAGGTAGAGTCTACAGTCATCTGCAGGAGCACATCCAGGGATGATTAATTCCCAAGACAGTTTCCCCCACCAGGTAAGTGACGTCAAGAACCCTAGGGCAGTGGCACCTCACACGCCCCTTGTCACCAGCTTGCTCCAGCTCGTAAACCAACGCTGCTTCCTTCAGCAACGCCTTTGCTATGAAAAACACGGCAGCCGGACGAAACCGTGCTGCGTGTGTAGTTGTTTGCTCTGTAGCTCAGGGCATCTCTCCCAGTGACCGGCCGCAAGCCCTCGTCCGACCAGCAGCCAGTCCACATCGGCAGCCACGTGTGGACTCCACTGCCTTGGACGGCAGCTGGCTCCAGAGGCCACCTCACTGAGGAGGAAGCGAAAGGCGTTCTCAAGGACACCGCTAGCTGGTGGCACAGTGAGGGCGACGGTCCCGTCTGCCAGCTCCATCCTATCTGCCATACTCAGATTTGCCACTTTGGAAAAGCACTTAGAAAAAGCTTCCCCTGGGCTCAAGTTAGAAGTGCCGGGCACATCTGTTCCCTTATTTGTGCGGAAACCAGCTCTTAGGACCCAAATTCAAGAATGAAAACAAGACATAACAACTCTACTCTCTGTGCAAAAGTATTCAAAATTGGATACACATATTGGATGTTAAGGAAAGGGCTTTTAATCTAATGTTGCAAGACCTAAGTTTCACAAAATGTTAGTGTCTCGGCATCCTAACACGTAACGTGGGTGAAGTGCTCACCCCGCGAACAAAGCTCCAGGAATACAAGTGTTTGCTTGGTTTACCTTCCAGGTGACCCTGATGCTCTGAGATGACAGGGGTTCCAGGTGAACTTCCTGAGGTGGGCCGTCAGGAGCTGTAAAGACCAAAACCCACAGGCCGGTTAGAACTGAGTTCCAGAGCAGACTGACATCTACACAACACGCAGGCCCGGGAGACAGGCCCCCGGTGGCGCAGAGAAGCTTGTCAATCTGGCCGAGTCGCTGGGTGCTGAATTCACCCGGTGCGTACTCGCTCCCAGGAAAAATGAACCTTGAGGACCTGTTCTTGTGTTCCTCTTCACCACACCTTTGACACCATGATTAATGCACCTCAAGTCTGAGCAAGTTTGCAGGTAAGACAGGAAGTTGTAAGACAACATGGCTTTTATGAAACCCTGTGGCACCTGTCGAAGACCCTTCTCTTTCCCTCAAAAGTCATGTTTAGGGACATGGCCTTGGGGTCACTCAGGTGGTGCGGAGCCATTGGGGCAAAAAAAAAAAAATCAGGATTCTTCTCCTTCTGAGTCCGTTTGATGGCTTTGGTTTTCCACTTTCTGATTGAAAACTCTCATGACCTGGGGGCCGTTGCCTCCGAAGGCAGAAGCAAAGTTAAAGAGCCAAAGCGTGCAACTCACACCACCCTATTTCCAATGCTTGTAGAGATTCCAATTACCTTCCAGTTCCAGTCCGTCACTAGGTATCAGAAACATGCTAGCACCAGGCACGCAGTGCAGAACTAAGAGGTGGGACACGTTCTGGTCCACCGAGAGTTGACACGTTACTGGAATAGCAGATGCACGCCCTGCAAGAAAGACCAGCCTACAGCGTGGCGGACACTCAGGCATCTTGCAAGAAGTAGAAGCAACCGGAAACTTAGGACTCAGCGGGAGAGACCCCTCCTGATGAAAACATGCTGTGGGATCGACGGCTCTACCATCTGAGCTGCACAGGGACCATTTCTGTGGACGTGGAGATGTCCGTTTGCAGAAGGGGGAGGAGCACAAGGGCAGATGAGGAAGCAGCAGGAGGGAATGTGAACTGGTTTGAAGGGTTTGAAAGTCGGTGGAAGGGTAAAGATAAAGGTCAGATTAGGGGAGAGGCAAGGTCAAGGGAAGCATGCTCTCCTTGGTTCAGGAGAAGAAGTTTTGAGTAATACCCGGATGGAGTTGCTAAGTTGATGGGTGTTTCAATCTTTCTGCCTGAGTTCAAATTCTGGCCGTATCACTTAGTAGCTGTGTGGTTACTTAATTTCTCTGTGTCTCAGTTTCCTTCTTTATAAAACAGGACAATAAAATGCATGCCATAGGATTGTTATGAAAATAATGTACTCGGCAAATACAAGGAATAATAATTATTTTCATTGGGTGTTTGACACAAGGGGAGGTAAAGGGGGAAATTCATATAATGAAAAGAAAAGGTACACTGGAAGGAACCATGTCTGAGCACAGATGCAAGGGTACTATCAGGAATGGAGGTGGTGGGGTCCCGGGGCATCAGAGTGACCATCTCTGTGGTGGGAGAAGGGAGGAAACAACGGGGGAGCTTTTGGTGGACTTGCTGGTTGAGGGAAGCAGGTTCAAACCTGATTGTGTTTTGTTAGCAAATAAAGTGTGTTTCTTAGCAAATAATAAGAGGCAAGGTCAGGGGCGTCTGGGTGGCTCAGTCAGTTAAGCGTCTGACTTTGGCTCAGGTCATGATCTCAGGGTCCTGGGATCGCGTCCTGCATTGGGCTCCCTGCTCAGTGGCGAGTCTGCTTCTCCCTCTGCCCCTCACTCCCCCAGCTCATGCTCTCTTTCCCTCTCTCTCACAAATAAATAAACAAAATCTTTAAAAAAAAATAATAATAAAATAAAAACATAGACAAAGTCAGCAAATCAGAATGGCAGAAGGAAGGAGGGCTGTGGCTTTAGGAACACAGGGCTCAGGGAATGGTAGTGGCCAATAGAAATGTGTGCCCTGCACAGCACAGAGGAGCACGGAGCCCCAGCTTGGCATGTGAACATCACACAGGGGGAAGCTTGCGTGTGGGCCTTCATGAGGGCATGGGCAGGTGCTGACAGAGTGTGCAAGTGGACTGGGGTGAGCACTGGCGCTGGGCAGGAAGAAGCAGGTGCCCAACTTCTACTGGGGGAGGGGCACCAGGACCCTCTGGCTCCACATATGAGCAAGAAGGCACGGGGGGCGGTGGGGTGGTGGGGACTGACTCCAGAGGCCGAGGCTGGTGGGACCAGAAGAGAGAGAGAATGCTAAGAGAGGAAGCTGGTTTGCCGGAAAAGATGGTTCATTCTGTTTTACAAATATGAACTTGAAGGGAACTGGAGATATCAGCACTGGAAATGTTTACAAGAGCCGGGAGAGAAAGAGGAGTCAGGTCTGCACCTGCTTCCTTCTGCACACCTTGTTCCGTCCTGCTGCCGCCAGCCTGGCGTCTCTTCTGCATGTCTCCTCTCTGTGCTTGGTCTGCCGCTGTCCCCGCCGAGGCGCTCAGCCTCACCGAACAGCCTGCCCCAGCCCTGCATCTGTGGCTGGTGCCAGTTTTTATTTGGGTCCTAAACATTGATTCTGGTTTCCACGTTCCCTCTTTTAAAGGGGACATGGGCCCAGAGCACCCTTCAAGCCACTCACTCATCATACTAGCTTCCCTGTGTCCTGGGTCCTGCCTCCCTCTGAGTGCTTCTGTTCTGCACCCCCATCCCCCATGCACCCCCGTCCCAGCCGTGGCCAACATCTCAGTGGAACCCAAACACACCTGCCCCGGGAAGATCTGACCTTCTGTCCTCAAGCTTTCTTTTCCCTCCGTAGGCATTGCCTGCCCACACCTGGGCGACCCCCACAGTCTCCCCCACCTCAGTGTGGGGACCATCACAATCACAAGTGGTGCTGGGCACTTGCTCAGAGCCACCTTTGCCCCAGGCTGTCCTCCCCCCACTCTGAGCTGCACGGCCTCCCGATCTGGGTCCAGAGCAAGTCCCTGCCTTGAAGGGTAAAGCGCTGTGAGACCCTGAAATGCAGAGCACACCTCTCTCAACCCAGCAGGTCACGGGGACCGCTGGTTTGCTGGAGGTGCTGCAGCCCCTTGGGTCTATCCATGATTCCCCACATGAGAAGGCTACATTAGCACCGAAGCTGACTCCAGAGCAGGGACCGAGGGAGGGACTGGCATCCAGCTACCTGCCATCATTGTTCTTATAGCTCTGTACCTAATTTCTGCTCACAGGGTCATGCCCTTCACGCAGGAGCCTTTTGATATGAGCTCCAATGAAAACCCGTGTAGCAGATTTCTCTCAGCTGAAAATTCTGTGGTCATCGAGAAGCATGGGGTTCATCCACGAAAATCCTTCTTGAAAAAATGATTTTGAGGTCTGACCGCTGTGCTGGTGCTTGATTATTTTAATTTAATTGTGCTAAATCAGACTTAAAGAAGATCCTGTTGGTGAGGAATGAGAAGTAAGATGGGGGCAGCACCTCACCCTGCATCCTTTGAGTGTGTCTGGGCTGTAACCTTTGGGGGCATCATTCTGGGCGGGGAGGGGTGGTGGGTGGCTTATAAGCATAGGCTTCACATCCTTGATGAGATAGAGTCAGGCTTAAAAACAAAGATAGTAGGATAGCGTTTACAAAATGGTCTTGATTCTATCAGAAACCTTGAAGTCGATGATGCAGTCATGAATTGGGGAGAATTTGGTTTTCCAATCTGGTCCAGACCTCTCTCTCAAAAATAAAGTTATAGAAACAACGTCAAAGACAAACGCCAAAAGAATACAATCTATACTCACACATTAGAGTCATGCCCAATATAATTAGGAAGCATTTTTGTTTGTTGGGGAACTGAATTTTCCACTCTTCAGCTTTCTAAAGCATTATAGGAAAAACTTTATATATATATATAATGAGTCTGCTTTCAGAAATTTCATGCTTTCCTTATAGCTCCTGAGCTGTAATCATTCCACAGGTCCTCACCTCCTGGCAAACAGACAATTTCTGTAATTTCTCTAAAATTTAATCCAAGGCAGACTGAATTCCCAAAAGCTGAAAGGATTCAAGATCAACCATTAGGTACTCACTTATTTAACTAACTTTGAAAACCGTGTTGACATCTGACATTTAAGAATTTATTTACATGTTCTTGAACTGAAGCTATACTATTTATAGAAAGCATAGTTTCTTCTGTTTTTAAACCAGAATATTCCGCTTTTTCTTGCAAGAGGAGAAGGCTAGGAGGTGAGAATTAATACTGAATGTGATTTTTCAAAAATAAATAATCTCTGTATTTCTACCGGAGCCCAAACTGCTCGATCGACCAAACAGTAATAATTGGAGATGGTGTGTGCCGTTCCTAATGCTCTTCCTAGGCAAGGCAACTTTTGTGAATTCTGTTTGGCTCAAGACACAGGGATGAGACAGACCCTTCCTAACTGCCAGACACGCAGACATCTGCTCTTGCTTTCCTCTCTCTGCCTCCCCACCTCCTGAGCCTGCTCCTCTCCTGTTTCCTGCATCCCTGACAGTCACTCTCAATGGATGGTCTCCAGGGATGGTCCTCTCTCTCACTTCCAATCGGTGAACACAAGACTCCAGCCTCAGCACTCCCCTCTGCCCCTCGAAATACCCTCTCCTCCACGAAGCCATCTCCTGGCTTAATGCAGAGTCTTGGCACCAAATCAATCATGTAGCCTGGCTGAACCATCTCTGTGGGAATCACTCCCAAATTTCTATCTCTGGTTCCCTTATTGGCAGATTTAATGAGAGCTTCCTATGTGCAGGTGCAAAAGTCAGCAAGGGCTAGGGTACAAAAGTGGGCTCCACAGACACGTTTACCTCTGCTGGAGGCAGCAGGCGTGAGAATGATGCTCTTTGCTACACAGAGGAGACCAAGACGATGTTTGATAAAAATCAAATTAAACAAAGAATAGTTGACCCCTGACGGGAAAAAGATGACTTCATGTAACAGCTATTTATCAAGTAAGTAGATTATTAATTTAAGCTCTTTATTTGACACTTATTATGTGCCAAACACTGTTCTTGGTGGTTGGGATATGGCAATGAACCAAACAGGCAACTATTCCTGCCCTTGTGGAAGGGACCCAAAATAGAGCTAAACAAAATAAATTGGTAAATTATATGCTATGTTTTTTTTTCATTTATTTATTTTTTCATTTATTTTCATTATTTTTTATTAAAATTAAAATTAAATTAAATTTAAATTTTATTTAAATTATATGCTATGTTGATGGTGATGTGATGCTATTTTTACAAAGGAGAATGTTGAGGGAGGGAGGGGGCCACGTGTGCCAGAGTGGGCAGTGGGTTGGACTTTAAATAGTGAGTAGGAATCACAGAGATGCCATTTGACCAAACACCTGAGGAGGTGTGTGTGGGGGGGAACGAACATTCCAAAACATTCCAGAACATTCTAGGTTAGCCAGTGAGTGTATATAGGGCATGAATGAGGAGTGGCAAGGCATCCAGTGATTTGTTTGGTTTAATTTCCAAAGTCTCTAAATGGACGCTGGAGAAAAATGATGGCCACGGAAGCAGATTGCTGAAGGCTCAGGCACAGGGCGTGCCTGGTTCTTCCCGGGGGGCAGACCCTGTGCATTTGATGTCCCCTGGAGGAACACAGTTGATGCACACCGGGCCCTACTGGGCACCACGCTTCACATTTACTGTTACATGTGGATGGATGCCTTTTATTCCTTAAGCCCTCATCACATCCTCGCCCCCTCCACCCCCAGCTCAGCATGTAGAGGCAACGCTTCCTCTAGATCGGAGCTGCTACTCTGGGATGTGATCAGGACTGGTACAAAGGGCTGTTAATTTAGCGCTGGATCCAAGGGAAACCCAACAACTCCATGTGGCGACCCTTCCGTAATTCTGACTTTCCACTCTCAGATGCATCTGAAAAAATTCAGTGGTTTCTCAGTGAGCTCCTGCATAACCGAACTTCCAGGTTCTAGGGGCAGATTCATAATGAAAACAGTGAAGGGATCAGCCATCCCAAACCCAGGCAGAGGTGCTAGGCGACATGTAACCTTCAGGGCACAGCTGCTAATAGGGAAGTCGGTCTTGGTGAGGGTCAGCTGTGGATGTGACATGCTGATGGGGGTTGAAGGAACCTGGCGAGTCAGTGCATTTCTGGTCCATTAGGATCTAATCCCGTGGACTCCTGACAGTGTCTCCACTTCCTCCCTCACCTCCTCCCCTTTGAGGGGTTAGGGGCTGCTGAGGGGAGTTGGGAGGAGAGTGCTAGACAGTGAGACCCCTGCTTCGTGTCGAGTGCATCGGGTGTATGATAACACCCCTGTGCACTTTCACACGAAAATTCTGTGGGTGTGGTTGCATTGGAAAATGCTGTTTTCCAACATTAGGTAAGGATGCTGTGCAGATGGTATGAGTCCTTCTTCACTAAGCTCTGCGATGGGAAATATGACAGGAATCCAAAACCCAAATTCCCACCACAGCAAGACCTAAGTTAGGGATCTGTAAAATTTTCATGTAAAGGGCCAAATAGGGAATGTTTAGGCTTTGTAGGCCACGGGAGTTCTCTGTTACATAGTCTTCTTTTTAAAATGTAAACCCTATTCTTTGCTTGAGGGTTGTAGGGGGGATTTGGCCCATGGGCTGGAATTTGCTGAATTCTTAAATGAAAGAAGGATGGGGTGATGATTCATTGAGGGGAGCTATGGCCAGCCTCAAGGTAACCTCTATATACTTGGCTCCAGCTGATGGGTGCCAAGCAGGCACTCAGGAAGAACTCAAAATTTGGATTTTGATCGGAATTTTCCCGATTTCAAAAATGGGCACCTATATTGAACGATTTGCACTACAGTAGGCCAGACCCAAGCCAAACACATGCTCAGGCCTCCTGTGCTGTGGGCTGCAGTCTGTGACCTGGGACAAGCCCCAGCCCATCGGGACAGGGCTGGGAATCTCAGGCTACTGACCCCGATGATTCCTGCAGGCTTAGAGCTCTGGCTGGGTGTGACTTCTTCTTCCTCCACCTTCCAAAGCCCTTCCCTTTTGCCTTCCTCTACTTTTCTTTCTTTATGAGACCCTTCAAAATTTCAGTGCAAATACATTCCACACACACACACACACACACAATCACTGTTACACCCTTCTAACACAATCCAGTGAGTCATCTTTATGAAGATTCCTCCCACATGAGATTTCCATGAAAGATCTGCCTTGTGCCGGACACACATGAAGAAGGAAACAGGAGTAGCCTGTAGCCCCTGATGTTGGGGGGGCCACAGCCTCACCCAGGACCGTGAGGTCCATGCAGAAAGGATGACATGCCTCAAAGGCCATTGTCAGAAGGATTCCTACTTAGCGGTGGGGGAGGAGGCACTAACGTCATCCAGGGAGACCCTCCAGACAGAGGGCACAGCACACATGCAGAGGACTGGGGGCAGGAAGGGGCCATAGGAAGCTGAGTGCAGCTTCAAAGCAGAGGGGGTCGGGGAAGACCCAGACCTAACCACCTCACAGACACATCTCCAGCTGGGTACTGAGCGATGTCCCCCATGCCTGAGACTTGGGCACTGTATTACCATAAAAATGAGTGGGTCTACAGCTTCCAGAAGCTTCCATCTGAGAGAGAGATAGTCTGCTTGAGAGATGGCCTTAAGGAAAGTGGGCAATAAGGATGGGAAAATGTCACCTTGAGATGACAGTAGCTCCCCACAGATGTGTCACTGGGTATCCCTGCTGGGAAGCGTTAGTAGCAATCCATGGCCACTGCAGGCAATTCTGATGAGGGGATCTTTGGCCAGGACAGTTGCCCTACCTTCTCCGTGAGTCACAAGTAAGAAAACCTGATTTCTTCATGTCAGGCACAAAACCTATGCACCAAGACAAAGACAAATTCTGTTGTGGAGCTCCACTTTGCTCTCCCTGCTCCCCTCCTTGCATTTTCCCCTAGCTCTTCTGAATAGTAAATCAGAGAGGCTCTGTGGGGCCACCAGCAGCCAGCGTGCAGGTGGAATCCCAGAGGCTAGCCCGGGAAGTCAAGAGGGTGTCTGCAGAAAGGCCAGGGAGTGGCGCCGCAGGTCGGCGCCCGGCCGGGAGTGGCTCTTCACCTGGCCTCCAGGCTGGGGAGCGACGCTGCCATGACAACTGTCAGCTGTAGCAGGGGTCACCAAGAGCCCAAGAAAAGGCTACAGGGCAGGGTTCATCATGGCAATTGGGTAGGCACTGGAAAATACAGTTCTCTTGAGAAGGATGTCCGGACAGAGCACAGTCAGAGCAAGGGTTAAGAAGGAGGAGAAGCTTGAGGAATGAGTCCAAGATTACATTTGGGGGGCAGCATCTCCTCCCTAAATATACAATGTGATGAAATTCCAGGAAGTTCGTGGGCTGTTTAAATATTTAAATACGATTCTATTTCTGCAGGAGCACGTTGACACTCATTTCTCACTTGTTTCTGAGAAATACAAAGTACTTTGAGAGCTTGCATTTCTTTCCCCCAATTATCCAATATGTTTGTGGTGAGGAGGAGAAAGACATCATTATGTCCATTTTGCAGATGAGAAATCACACAGAGTTTCTAAGCAATAGAAATGGCTCATCCTCAGACATCCATGAATAAAGCTATCCCATCACCCACCCGTAAAAACAATTTTCAAGAACCAATGTGTTCCCAGGTGGAGAATGAAGTGCTCAACCCCACTGCGGGAAGAACTGTCTATTTCAACCCACTTCCCTGCGGATGGTATTGACTACACATAGCAGGAGAGTGAAATGTTTGTATTTGTTTTGGTCCAGCAATCCTACTACTTGGAATTGAACCTAAGAGAATAATCTTAAGGGGCAAAAGACAGGCTGCAGAGGATGTTCATCACAGTAGCATTTATAGTAATAAGAAACAGAAAAAAACAGACATGTCTAATAATATAGGATTTGTGAAATAGATGGTGAAAGATATCATTATGAATCATAGGCAAGTACTTAAGGGGTATATAAGAGTGATGACTTTTTGGAATGCCATTAATGAGGGTCGAAGAGAAGAGGGTGGAGGGAAGGAAGTCAAGAACAACCCTAATTCCCCAGCTGAAAGCTGAAATAAACCTCTCATGGACTCTCACTCATTCGGGGATGATCACCTTAAACCTGGTGTTGAAGAAGGGATCTGAGTCTAAGTTTCCAATTTCACCGCAGCAGTACGTAGTGGCTGATTAGCTCTGATTTCTGGCAGGGAAAGAAAAGCCAGGTTTGGGGCTGGACACTCTTTCTCCCAAGAGATGAGCCTTTCCTTCCCCAGACCATCTCAATGGCAGCTGGCTTCCTCCTCTCCCGCCAGGACGTGGGTTGACAGCCAGCCTTCACTGGCACTGCCTAATGGCTCAGACCCGCACAAATTGGTCAGTTCATCCCTGGTAGTCATGGGCGAGTGTTGGAGGGAGAACACATGCGTGCATATGTGTGATGAATGATTCAGTAGGTGATAGCACCATGCCCACAGGTAGCCCTAGGTGGTGGGATTAGGGAAGTGGTTTTGCCTTCTTCAAAATGTTTATCTCTATCCTCTAAATTTTTAACCCTGAATATGAAATTCTTTGTAATAGGAAGAACAATAAAGTTTACTATAGAAATATTGACATTTCTAGTCAATAAAATATCATCTACCGCTGTCCCCCCAACTCGTCACACACAGAATATTCTTGCCATTTCCTAGTTAAGCCATCCACTGACACCTGGATTGCGTAGGGCCTTGGGCAAGACATACACTCATGGTTCTCCTGTCAACCCGGATTCCATGATCCAAACAGAGGAAATGTAAAAATGGCCCAGCTCTTTAAAATATCACCAGACTGGTAGTCTCCTATGTCTGTGTTTTAATTCTTGCATATGAGAACCCTGAACGAAGTTGGAAGAACAGTGCCTTCAAAGTAGGAGGCAGAGTGCTGTCTGCGTCTCTAACAGGGTGTGGCGCTATGGAGGGCACTCTTCAAAAGGCCTCCATCAGGCACAGCCCACAGCCTGATTCTGTGTTAGCCATCTGAGCCCCAGGGGCCAGCTCCGGGGCTCTGGGACATGGGCCTCGCCCGCTCACACGCACCTGCCTCATCCGCGGTGATGGAGAGCTCGTTGCTGGGCTCGCTCTTGCCAATCCGGTTCTTGGCGTACATGCGGATGCTGTAGGTGGAGGAAGGGTGGATATCAATGATGGTGGCCGAGTTCAGCTGAGGGGAAACATCTTTGGTTCTCTGAGCAGAATCCCAGGAGTCTTTTGGGTTTTGTTTTTCAAAAAAGAAGAGATAGAGACGTGAGTTTTTTTTCTCTGCCTCTGAAAGTTCACAAGTAGGAATTAAACACGCACACGCACGCACACACACACACACACACAGGAAGGAAGAAAGAAAGAATAGTTACAACTCCCAAGTGAATTCTCAAAGCAATGCTCCCAGTGTGCTGGCGGGTTGGCCATCAGAGGGGGACATTGCACTCTCATTACCCACGTTAAGGGGGACAAGGGCTGTGGGCAGCTAAGGTCTGTGGGGGATGTCTGAGGCACTGGTGGGTATCAAGGAGGAAGACGCAAGAGATAGGAGTGCACGTCAGTGAATTGGGAAACGGCCACATCAAGGCACTCATTGTACAAGGTAGTAAAAGGAATTATGGTTTGGACACTGCCCCCCACCCACAAAACAAAAACAAAAACAAAAACTCTGGTTCTAAAAGTTATTTGAAAACCAGCGAAACCCCTAACCATGTCAGATCCTTCCTGCTCTAGAAGCACAGCAGTCAACATGAAATACTTACGTAAAAACTAATCTCAGTCTCCAGCATAAACACTTAGTCTCAAATACTTTCTTGTGGGAAATATTTTCAACCACAGCTAATTTTCACAAGGGCACAGACCTCACGGGAAGAGTTATCATTGAATATGTGACAATTTGTACCTGCTGGGTTTGGGGTTTCGACCAATGAGGAGTAAATGGTTCTCCTTTCAGAAAGAGTTTGGGTGGTTGCTAATTGGGTTGAGTGGTCAAGAGATGCTGTCAGTTGTGGGAGAACAAGAACCTAAGGTGGTGCACAGAGATGCACTCTTATACAGCCCCACAGTCCCCGGTGTCCTCTTCGGTGGTGCTCACCACCCCTATATGTCACTGAGGTTCCGTGTTCCCTGCTGGATTCTGAGCTCCGTGGCAGCAGACACCATGCTTGCCATGTCCACTGCCACGTCCCCGGTGTTTGCACAGTGCCTGATGCATAGCAGATGCCACATCATGAATGCATGTTTAACAGATGAATACATAAAAGGCAAACATACAGACCTCTGAGCCCTGGGGAGGGTTCATTTCCCCTTCCATGTTCATGATGAGCATGGAAGTTCAGAGGGCTGGTCTGCCTACAGGTAGCCATAAATATTAAGAGGTCTTCTGGACTTGTACAAAAATGTGTCTCTTCCAGGCTGCCTTGGAATGCTGTAACTAACTGGGGAACAGAGCATAATAAAGACTGACAATGACTATTCCACCGAAAAGGAAAAGTATCGCTTGAGTCAAGAAGATTGAAGGTGGATAAACACTGACATAGAAAAAGAAGATGCTACAAAAAAATCACACAGTAGAAGAGGAGAAGAAGGTGATCCGACAGAGGACCCCGAAGTGGGCGGGATTTAGGACCAGTGGACTGACACAGAAATGTGGACCCTGTCCCAAAAGGAGAAAGCCAAACCTTCTGGAGAAGACATCTAGGACAAGAGAGGAACCCCGGGCTCTGTAAGGTGCAGAGAAGTGGCTAACCAATAGGTACTGATAGTGGTTGATGTCTCTGCCCCAGGCCACAGGGAGGTTTCTAGAACTGCCAGCTCATGAAGACATGGCCATCTTCACCAAGGATGTGTCTGGGAGACAGCAAAGAGGCCTGAGGAGGTGTAGTAATGTCCACTGACCGCCTCCTCCTCCTGCCAATCAACTCATGAGGAGCCCATGGGGGCGTGGCCAAGGCAAGGGGTAAAGGGCAGGAAGTGCAAGGTGCTTGAAGAAGGGGTGGTGTTTTTAGCTTTCCTGCAGTTATTGCACTTTGATAAAAAAAGATGATGTCAATGATCATGATTATTAGAATAAGGTTCAGAACAACACAGGAAGGATTTTGAGCTAAAGATCAAGAAGATGAGAAAGAATGCTTTATCCTGGAGGATTTGAAAGTAACTGAATGGAGAAGGAGAAGAAAGTCTACTTAAATCCCCAGACACCTTCTGGCAAATGATACGGCATCAAAGGAGGAATAAAAACAAGGAGGTGGTTACCCAGAAGAAAAGAGTTTAGGGATCGGAAATACTGCTTCTGATCACAGATGCTGATGTGCAGACAGGCAGGACGTGGATTATTAGCAAAGTGTGCTGGAAAATGTAACGCTGGGCATTATGAACAATCACAGAGCGATCTTGACACTTGGGAGGATGGAAATGCAGATTGAAATGCAAGTACAACTGGGAAGGGCATACCACAGACAAAATAAAGAAACTTAGGAGTCAGTCCCAAACAGAAATGCATGCTTGGGAATCCAAGAGCTGGAGGATGCATGGAGAGTGCTGGGAAGGGCATGAACAGGAAGGGCAAGAAATGAAATTGTCGGGGGAATGTATCACAGGTGTCCTTGCCCCGTGGAGGAGGGGGACAGTGCTCTGTGGATGCAGAGAACAAATACAGTGTCGAGGAGGGCTTATAGTTCACACTGGAAAATCCTTCACAAGGGGACAATTTACCAAGGTGTGGGCTGGGCTAGAGATTCCCAGCACCTAGCAAGAGTGGGGAGCTGCTCCCTCTGGGGTCAGGAGGGCCAACAGGAAGGGACAGGATTGCCGGAGTCCAGAAAGGGCTGGGACTGCAGGAGAGGGGCCCCTGACAGAACACAGTCACTGCCAGGATCCTTGTCTGAATCATTCTTTGTGCTTGCCACCGGGTGAACCCAAGGGGAGCTCCGAGGGGAAAAAAAAATCTGCATGTCGTAGCCGGGGGAGTTCGGCTCCCAGAGCAGGGCAGACAATGGGTTTGTGGGATTGCATCTGCCCCCCTGGTCCTGTGCTAGGCATTTTATAAACGTGACTCCTGCGGTCCCCAAAACCATGGGCATGCTGGAAACACCTTGGAGTTTTGTGACACCTGTGCTTTCAGACCCACTGAATCAGAATCACTTCGCAATGGTGCCCAGAAAACTGTGCTTCACAAAGCCTCTCTCTGGGTCATTCCGATGCACAGCTAGAGTTTGGAGCGCTCTATCTGAACGAATTATTACAACATCCTGGGAGGTAGGGATTTTTATTTTCCTCGTGAAGGTCAAGAAACGAAGGCCTGTTACATGGCTGGCGTGACGTGCGGGGTTTGACTTCACCTGTGTTACCCTGAAGCTCAAGGTCATTTTCTGGTAGCATGTGACCTCCACATAGTCCCTGCAGGACACCTAATGAGACTGGATTTCAATTTTCCAGACATCTGATGAATGTCTCATATGTTGGAAGGCAGACTGACAAGGGCTTGACTTGGCTTACTGACCGGGAGTTTAGTCAAGTGCAAGGGAAGGGAACAGAATTACTGTAACTCCTATGAGTATGTGGGGATGGAAGTGGGGAGCTGTGCAAGAGCAGACTTGGACCCTGGTTTAGAAAGATGTCAGGGGCGTTCCCTGAACCAGTGGGTGGGGTTCCCTGACATGCCCCAGAGAGCCCGGTGCAAGAAGAGGATGAGGGAAGTTCAGACTCACATTCCTGCCTCTGAGATACCCAACAATCCCGTGGGAAAGGACTAAGGGAGCCCACAGGGACCAGGGTGCTTGCACTGGGTGCTCACTGGGGACCCCCCCTTGGGGGTCTGGCATCCCAAGTCAGGGGGATGGCAGATCACCAAGGACAAACATAAGAAGGGAAAATTTGATCTAAAGAAGTGTTGTTAGAAGCCAAAGACCAGGAGGAGTGAGGGTGACCAGGAGGAGTGAGGGTGACCAGAAGGATGTTCTGGAGACAAAATGATTCTAAATGTTTAAAAATTATGAGGCAGCTCAGGGAAGGACCACTTCTACAGCACTGGTTACTAGAAGGGAGACACAGGGCATAGGGAAAGCCCCTTCTGCTCCATCTGCTCCATGGAGGAGATATTCTCAGGGTGAGATGGGGAAGGGAGGCTCAAGAAAGAAGGCTCTGGAAGATGGCACCTCACTGCATAAGAGAGTGTGTGCTTCCTGGGCCGGATGGTTACGTTCCAGGACAAGAGCAGGTCCCAAGGCACTGGAGCCCCCTGGGCGATCTGTGGGGCACCGTGCAGAAGGAGACAGGGCCAAAAGGGGGGATGTGGGCACGAGGCAGGCTGCCTTCCAAAGAGGGGAAGGAGGGGATGCCGCAAAGCGCCAGAGGAGCTGGAGGCACACACGGGGCGAGATGCTGGGATTGGGTGGCGAAGGGGTTTTTGTGTCCATCGAGAGGAGAAGCAGTACTCTCTAGGAACCAAGTCACATGGCAGCCAAAGCCATGGCACACAAGGCAAAGTCGATGATGCGGGCAGGACCGGATGAGAGAGTCACGGGGTGGTCATAGGAGATACAAGTAAAGGGACTTGGGATGTTTTATTTTTCCTGGCAAACAGGAAAGCAGGAGGGTCCTCTGTCTTCAAATCCTGCAAGGGGTGTCATTTGACCACAGGGTTTAGGGGTGGGAAGGGGGCCACTGGATTCAGGAAGCATGAAATGTAAGAACTTGTGACAGTCATGGCTGGCCCAAGGCAGACCTGTGCTTTCCCGGGGCTAGTGAGTTTCCATTGTTGGGGCTGTTCAAGCACAGACTGAGTGACCCTTTGCAGGGACCCACTCAGTTACAAACGCCGAGTAAAGCAATTCCTCACGTCCTTGGCAAATTAACGAAGACTAGAAGAAAATGTCTTGGGGAGGATTTCATTGCTTGACACAGAGGATGAGAGTCAACAAGTTCACAAATGTTTATGAAAAGTCTCATATGTGGACTGCTCACTGGGGGGGGATGCAGGGTCGTAGCACAGGGCTCCTCAGACACCGTCCCTGCCCTGAGGGGTCACAAGAACCCTCAGAGGGACAGCTTCCCAGTAGGGGAGACAGATGTTAAACATCTTCCCAGTAGAGGATCCAGGTATTCAGTAAGCATCCACAAGCCCACTAAATGTTCCAAGGCAGACAGGATGCTATATGAACAGAGGAAGGGGCACATTATAAAATGGGTGATCAGGGAAGGCTTCCTGGAGGAAGTGACATTTAAGCTGTGATTTCAAGGATCAGTTTTCTATGTACTCAGCCTATAAGTTGCATTAGCTTAAATTATAGTTGTCCTTTTTATACACCCAAAACTTATCGAGGAAGAAACTAATACATGAAAAGACTAACGTGATTTTTATGGCAGTGAATACAATTATCGCCTGCTGCCCAGGCCTTTCAAACTGAACGCAGTGGAGGGTCAGGAGGGCCCTGCTGGTGATGTGAGGTCATGGAGTCGGACCCACCTGTCCCGTGGGCTCTTCCCCAGTGACTCTCCTGGAACCTATTCTAACTCAGACTGGGTTAGACTTGCTCCAGAGCTGTGTGAACCTCTCAACCACTGGCCCTGTGTGTGGTGGAAGGACAGTGTGAAGCACGGATAGGTTCTGACTGCAGCCAGATCATAGATAAGGAGCTCTCCGACATAGGTTATGTAGAGCCCGACTGATCTGGAATTCAGAAGTGCTGTGAAGATGATTCTTAGATTTGGATCACAGGTAAATTAAATGCCCCAGGTATTTTCTGAGTGCTCCTCATGTGGCAGGCATTGTGCTCAGTGCTGGGATCCAGGAGCATATGACACTAGACACCAGAGTTCCTGCCTCTGGGGAAGTTACACGGAGTGCTGGGGTGCTGAGGATTCTCAAGTGGAGGGCACAGACGGTTTTAGAGGCATTTGATTTAGAAGCATGTGTGCATGCCAGACTGATACTCTAAGCCACCATTTAGAAGACTTTGGCTATGTGCCAGACACTGGGGAGATGCTTTAAAGCCACTCCCTTGTTAAAGAGTATTCACCAAGTATGCACTGAGGGCCCACAGTGTGCTGGGCTGTGCTAGATGTTGGAGGAATGGGTTGGGGGAAAACTAGGCCTGGTGGCACAGGAACTTGCAGCCCAGTGGAGAGGACCCGTGGATCAGCAGTAACAACCGCAATGGCCCTATTCCCAAAGACGGTCCCCTTCTGCAGAACCAGTGGTTAGAACTTCGACATACCTTCTTGGTGGACACAATTCAGTCCACGACAGCATCATAAAAATGTCAGTTCTCCCTAAGTTAGTTAGCAAAGTTGATGCAATCCCAATAAAAAAAATGCCAAAAATGTTTTTATGGAGCTAGACCAGCTGATCCTAAGGGTCACATATGGAAAGCTAAGAAAACGTCAAAAGGCAGTCAGAAGGGTGGACTAGCCCTACCAGACGTTAGAACACGAGAAGAAGCCTCCATGATTAGCGCAGTGTGGTGCTGATGCAGTCATAGACCGATAAAATGATGGAATAGACTAGAAAGTCCAGAAATGATGGAGGAGTACAAGGAAAGCTAGTCGGTGACAGAGTTGGCATCTGAAACCACTGGGGAAAGGTGGGCTTTTTAATAAAAGGTGGGCTTTTTAATGTTGGGGCAGCAAGATTTCCATCTGGGAAAAGATCAAACTGGACCTGTATCTCCCAGAATACACAAGAATCAAGTCCAAATGGATCAGCGATCTGAATGTAGGAGCGAGAGAAAGAAACCATACAAGTAGAAATCAGGGTGGATTCTTTCATAGCCCAACTGTAGAGAACAGCTTTTCTAACTTGACTCAAAATCCAGATGCAATAAAAGGAAATGTTGATAAATTTAGAAAAAAAAACCCCATAATCCCAGAAACAACTATATGATGGCCTGTGATGGCCCAGCCAGGAAAGGAAGGAGATGATGCTGTAGGAGCCCGTGACGGGAGGCCTGGCCTCGGGTGCGGGCCCAGGAATGCGTCCTTGTGGAGGTGACATGAGAGGTGGGGTCTAAGGGGCAGGTGGGAGTAAGCATGAGAACCGTGTGGTCCAGGGAAGGGGGTGCTCTTGCCAGAGGGCAGCCTGTGGCCTCTGAGGGACTCCTGTCCCAGGGAAATGCTGTGGTGTCCCATTTCACAGCAGGGAATGCTGAGAGCAAGGGGCTAGTGAAGAAGGCACACAGCTGGCTGGAGACCAGCACCTGGAAACGACTGCTTCCCCCGAAAACAGGGAGGCATTGAACCGCTCCCCCGAGAGATGCCCCAGGCACCCTTGCCAAGAGCACAGAAGCCCGCCATCCTGCAGTTATGCTCAGCCAGAGAGACTGGTGGGGGCCTCCCCGCCCTGGGACTCTGTGGACTGTCCCCACCATGTGCCCCTGCCTTTCTCTGGAGTTCTCCTTGTCACGGTCAGTGTCCCGGCCATTCCCTGCTAGAACCTGCTTGCCTCACCTAAGAAGTGTTTCCTTGACTTCAAGATGAGTGTCTCAGAACTTGGAATTCCTTGGCTCCTTCCTGACCTGCGTCTCTACAACAAAGGCAGGTGTCCTCTCTTCCCTTTGGCCCTGGGGAAGCTCCCGCAAGAGTCCCGTTTAGGCCAGCACTGTCTTCACTAGCTCGCCGCGTCACTGCGTCCCCCGCCCCCAGCCCGCGCTGCCTGTCCCACTCCCTGGCGACCGTGCCTCTGGCCGCCCTGCACTCCTCTCTCTGAGCTCAGGCAGGCCCCGTGGCTGCGTGGCCTCACTGCTGGGACTCTGTCGTGACTCTGGGCAAACGAGCTGCTCTTCTGTGCACTCCCAATGCAGCTGCATACTGCAAGACTCAAGTGCTCTTGCTGAAACCACTGTTCTGGGTGTGAAGCAGGTTCATGCACTGCTGCTGGGACACTGCCCCCTCGGTCGTCCGTCCAGCCCCTGCCACTCCCTTGTCCCTTCCCTTGCACTCAGGTCCTGAAACCTCCCCTCACTCAGGGCCTGCCTCCAGCTGCCTGAGCTTCCTTCTCACTACCGCCTCAGCCCAAATATACTGAGTAGGTCACCACCCGCAAAGCCGAAGTCAAGTACAGTGCCCAGAAAGTGAAAAATAAGGCTACGTGGGAGGTCTGTTAACCCCACACATGCTGGTGCTGCTCTGAGTCCTCCTCTCTTTAATGAGACACAAAGTCCTGAACAGATGCCACACTGGTGGCCTTCTACCCTCAGCCTGATGGATCCTGGAGTTCCAAGTGATGCTGGCACTGGCACTTTAAGGGGAAGAACGGACACACCTGTTGTGGTCCTGACCACTGAGTCTGTTTTATTTATGGGCCCTCTGGCCCCGGGGAAACAGGTGATGCTCTGAGCAGAGGCAAGTGCCCCTGGACCGTTGCTGCGGCTCTTCCGGAACCTCCCTGCAGGGTCAGTGCCCATCTCCACACGGAGCAGCTCTGTCTCTGCACAAACTGGGCCTACAGACTCTGAGCTCAGCCGACGCCCAGGCTCTAGACAGAAGTCCCTGTCTAGAGCAGCCCCCCAGCTGAGGAAATGGGACCTGAAGGACAGCAGGGGGTGGGGGGTGGGGAAGAAAACATAACACGCCGCTTGCTGGTCTGCGGCAAGAACGCCAGGGTGGTGGGTGGGAAGCAAGCCTGGAGTCTGGAGGGAAAGAAGGGAGGGCTGAGGCAGAGCCAGGCCCCTGCACACAGACCCCACCCCGCAAAGGAGACGCGGTGTGCTCTGAGCAAGAAAAGACAAACTGGTAAAAAGAGCCCCCTCCAAGTTTCCTTGAGTCGGGGTTTATTCGTACAGGTAATCACGAATAACCGAGGAGAACAAGAAAAGGGCTTTTTGAAGTAGAAACGAAGCTGGAGGAAATAAAGGACTTACCTGATTTATTTTTGCATTCAATATCGTAGCCCGTAATGGGGCTGTTGCCGTCAAACCCCATGGTCCACCTGAGGGTGATTGTGCGTGCTTTCACGTCTTTGATCTCAATTTCGGGAGGGTCTGGGGGCTCTGTGCAATCGACAGGAAAACCTGGGCTTAGTTCAAACATGGCTCAGACAGAAGGCATGGTGGAAATGCTGAGTTCGGCTCAGAAAAGCTTTGTCAGCCTTCGACGGTGGCTGACACGTTTACCAGGAAACATTTTTTTCATAATCGCATCTCGTGGAGGAGAAATTCCACTTTCCCAAACTGCCCGGTGTTTGCAGCAGGGCTATTTGGCAGGCTTTTGTGGCATGGCTGGGCCAAAGCGGGATGTAGATTAAACGTCACTCTTCTGGTTTGGAATCCAGAACTCAAAAAATATTTTGGCTTCCAATGTTAAACTTTCCTTTTCCTTCGGATTGCCTAGCACAAGGATTCCCACCATTCGGCTAAGCAGGTGCACTCCTGCATTTGGTGCCTTCAATGGGACTAGGGGTCATCTGGCCCAATTCCTTTCAGGACTCTGTTCCCTGTGTTTTGGGGCTGCACTGTGACACAATCATGGGTACTGCAAAATACTGTTTTAACATCAACTTTGAACATATTTAAGATTTTCTGGGAATCAGGAGGTTTTACATAGAAAGCTGAGCCCACCACAGAGGTCCGAGCCTGGGCATACACTTACTGTCCTAAAAGCCGTGTTTTCCCCCAGTTCAGTCTCCTTCCTACCTTGCACTGTGAGCTGAATTATTCCACGGTCCTCCCCATAAGAATTGATAGCATGACAGGAAAAGAAGCCAGAGTCTTCTCTAACAGTTGGCAAAATCTATGTGTAAAGCAGAAAGAAAGCCATCTTACCCAGTAGCATGGAGCGAGGACAACTAAAAGGGCCTTTGGCTGTAAAAATCTCCCACTCCCACCCTTCCTGCATCCCCAGCATGTGCCCCTGCGTGCCTGCGCTGGCACACACACACACACACACACGCCCCTGAGAGCAAATTATCTCCTTGCACTTGTGATGGTGTAGATGGACAGGTTCAATGTACCTTGTCAATGCTAGCTGCCAGCTCATTAAATTGGATGTGTCATTTATGTAGGATGTCACGGTCAGGTGGATGTATATTCCACATATGCATTTATTTTTCTCGTGGTGTGCTTTTAGTGCATCCAAAGCAACACTGCCCGGAGAAGCAGATCTATAAATCCTGCAGTAAATGCTTGGTCCTGCAGGACCCTCATTAGAGTTCTCTCTAGAAGGACCCCAGCATTGGACCTGCACATGAATCAATCTCAGCATGTCAAACACAGGGCTTTCTTTTTTCCCAGATGTGATGCTACAGCGTCACTTCTCCCCCTACTAAAAACACCACTCAGTTAATTACCAATAGTACTAAAAAAAATATAAGGCACTATAATACTTTTTGCTAGCTTTTGTGATCCTCTGTGAAGGACAGAAGGTTTTATATTGGATTTTTCCCAAAAAAGCAAAACATGTTTCCTTATAAAGCCTATCTAATTTCTGTTTCTGCAGGATGTTAAAACAGGTGCAGAGCATAGGAGATCATTTCTCCAGGATTATCTGTCATTAAGAAACTCGATTTCTCCCATTTTTTTTTTTTATTACAGTTGGGTTCCCTGGCATGCTTGTCATCATTTTATTCTTCCTAACACTTAAGATCAAGCACTGTTTTTGTAGGTGACTCAGTAATGTTGCTGTAAGGAGATGGAGAGAGATGGTGCATCATAAGTAAGTCCTGAAAGATTATTTGCTGTTTATCTCCCACATGCACCCACTTAGGTGAAAGGGTAGGATTATCCTGCCAATGAAGTTAGATTCTGATCTGTTGTGTTCACCGTGTTTTACCTGCAGAGTAGAGATCACCTCCTCTCCCACCTCCTTGGTGGACACGAGGTAACGGGCCATCTCAGGGTTAATGATCCGGTCTTCCTTCTCCCAGCGGACTATGATGGGCTTCTCACCATGGGCCGCGCAACTCATTTCTTTCTTCTGACCCTGAGTGGCCAGGGTCGTGTTTGGATAGGACGTTATCATCGCAGGAACTGAAAACCCAAGAGGGACACGACTTATTTGGCAAAGCAGCATTTTTGATTTCCCCACCGTAACACCCGGCTAAATCATGCTTAAAGAGGGGTTTCTTTGAAATACCATGTATTCAAGAAACAGCGGAGCAAGAATCATGAACAGAAGAGAGGGAAGGTGCCAGAAAAGTGAAACCTGACGAAATGAGCCCTCAGCTCATTCATTCAGAAGATGTTGCGGGATTTCAAATTCGGGGGGGCGTTGCTTTCTTCCCAGCCCACCGCGGGCCCACACGGGTCGCGGAGCATAGCCCATGTCCCCTCGGACACATAGGGAAACGATTTTACTTCTGAATAGACTGGAGAGGGGGCTTCCATTAAATGACGGTTTCTAACTACCATTTTCAATCGTGGAACTCTGAAACCTTACTAATCAACTTAGGTTGGGGCCCTGATCGCTGCTGACCCCTCGTTGAGGTGACTTCTGTCTATGCTTCTCTCCCACAGTTGTTACTAACTATCGTGGTCACCTGGAGACCTCAGACCCACCCCTCTCCCATCACATGGCAGGGAATCTCATTCCCAGTTCACCAAGAAAACAGAAAGCTTTATTTGTGAACTTCTCTAGTTCCCCCTCTCCCACCGCAACAATTAATCTAAAGACCTCCATTCTTGGCACTATGCTGGGTGACTTAAGACCCTGCTCCCATTCCACACACCACCTAGAAATGCAGAGCAGCACAGAACGAGCACACGGGCTGCACACACTGAGCTTATAAGAAAGTGAGAGAAATCCCGGAGACAGAAGTGGATGCTGAAAGACCAGCGGTATTAGGATGCTGGGCCCCTGACTACCTGAGAGAGAGGGAGTTAAAAGCGGGCCCTTCAAACCAGGTTCCTCAATGGATGCCACCTTCAGAGCAAGTACCTACAACAATGACAACAAGATCCACACAGGCAAAGGGAGAAGCAAACTGCCTTGGCTCATGTTATGAATGAAGAAAACAAGTCTCCCCTGAGAATCCATAGCTGGTCTGACTCCGCATCAGTTTGGAGTTGGATTCATGCTAAAGGGTCAAGATGCTGGTGACCTTACTTTAGCCATAGGCCTGAAGATCCTAGCACAAGAAACACAAACACGCTCCAGAGGGAGGTACACTCCAACCAGGCCCATAGGAATTCTCCTAGATAAACCTCTGCTGAACATGAGCTAACAAACCAAAAGTAAAAAACATGTGAGAACATGACCATCATCACTGAGAATCAGCCCAAGCACCTCAGATGCTAGAATGATCAGACACAGACTAGAAAACAATTATACACAAAATGTTTAAAGATTTTTAAAAAACACAAGAAGGGAAAAAGACACTCTCAAAAAAGGACCAGGAGGTTTGAAAAATAACCAAATAAATCTATATTTTTACCTGTTTTAGGCCTCATTTCCACCATCATAGGGAGAAAGGCCCTTCCTCATTTCTAAGGTCAGGCTCACACTTGTGTACTTTCTTGGCCACCTCAGAAGCCCTCCACTGCTCCTTGGGCAGGTGACCACAGAAACACTGTGCCTTCTTTTCAGACTGGCAGGTACTGAGTCTCGTCTTCTCCACAGCATACCGGAGTGATGTGAGACATACCACAACGGGTAAAAAATCTCCAAGCTCTGTAGCCTAGACACCCACAGGAGGTCCCCTGCTCAGTCAGCAGGTGTGTGGCAGAGAGGAGGAGGCATGGAGGGGACAGACTGACTGGGAGAAGCAGCACCATGAGTCTCTTGTTTAATCCACAGCTGTGGTGAGACCCTGCTTCTAGCACACTTGCGTGGCAGCCAGCCTGGCTTGTGAGCCCCTGACTTCAGTCCTGATCACTCACTTCCTCCAGCCAGTTTGACAAAAAATTTAATTTTTCTCAACAGTTTTATTGAGGTCTAATTTACATACCATAAAAATCACCTGCATTAAGTGTACAGCTGAATGGGGTTTCCAATAGTATTCGTTTCCTAGGATGGCTGTAACCAACCACCATGAGCTGGTGGCTTTCAACAGCAGAAATCTGTTCTTTCACAGGTCTGGAAGTCAGTCCAAGATCAAGGTGCTGGCAGGGCTATACTCCTTCCCAAGTTCTAGGGAAGAATCATTCCTTGCCTCTCCTGGCTGTTGGTGACCCCGCTGCTCCTTGGTTTGTGCCCGCATCACTCCCATCTCTGCCCTCATTTCCTATCATGTTCTTCCTTGAGGGTTTTGCCGTGTCTTCATGTGGATTTCTTCTAAGGATACCAGTCATTGGGATTTAGGACCCACCCTCATGCATTATGACTTCATCTTAACTAATTATATCTGCAAATAACTTATTTCCACATGAAGTCATGTTCTGAGGCTCAGGTGGGCATGTATTGTGGGGGTGGGGCAACACAAGTATATTTACATTATCCAACACACACCATTACAACCCAACACAGGTATATAGAGTTGTGTAATTATCACCATAGCAAGTTTTAGAACATTTCTATTACCCTGAAAAGATAACCCTCCACCCCAGTCCCAGGCAATCACTAATCGACATTCGTCCTTCTAGATTTGCCTTTTCTGGACATTTCCTATAAATAGGATCCCACAGTAGGTATTCTTTCTTATCTAACTTTATGGTTTTTTCTCAGTGATCGTATTTTCCAGGTTCATCCATTCTGTAGTGTGTATCAGCTCTTTGTTCCTTTTTGTTGTTGAATAATATTGCATTGCGTGGGATTTCCACATTCTGTTCACTCATCCATCCAATGACGCACATTGGCATTGTTTCCATTTGGGGGATATTATAGATAATGCTGCTATCAACATAAGGGTGCAGGTTCTTGTGAGGACCTATGGTTCCACTTATTCCCAGGTAGATCCCTAGGAGGAATCGCCGTGTCACATGGAAATTCTGTTTAACATTTTGAGAAACTGCCACACTGTATTTCCAAATGGCTTCACCATTTTTCCAATCTCTGTGTCAGAAGACTGAGCACAGAAGAGGAAAGGGGGAGGAGTGGTTAGGATTCAGAGTTTATGACACAGGACAGAAATGTTCCCCTTCAACCATGTGTAGGGCAAAGCTGTAAGGTGAGCACCAGCTTGATGCCCACTGGCTGTAGAAACCCCATGGCCACCACAGTGCCGCCACTGCAGAGGAGTTGAGGGTGGTGAGGAAGCTCCTAGGAGAGGTCTACACGTGCCACCTTAGAGAATTAAGCAAACACAGGGGCTGAAGCCCCTCCTTCTCTGAGATCAGGCAGAAGGCAGAAGGCTTCCTGTGGCAGCCTGTGCAGCAGCACAAGAAGTGGCCACTGCGCTGTGAGTCTGGGACACCAGATGGGAGCCTTTGCAACATATTCCAATTCTCCACCCCACTGGGGGAAGGGACTAAAGCCCCAGGAGTTCACTGGCCCCATTAGCTGGTCCCAATAGTCACCAACTGAGGGACTCTACCAAGAGAAGAGGCTGAATGGGCACTCCATTGGGAGGGGCTAAAGGGAGACATGGCGTCCCTCTCCAAGGGTGTCCTCTGCAGGAGAGGAGGCCAGGGGGAGGCTCTGGGGGAACAGGGAGCAGAGTGGACCATCGCCCCTCATTTGATACTCTTGCCTGCAACTTTGCACCGTCTACAATCAAAGGGTTCTGAATGCTACCAAAAACCTTTGAACAGCAGGTGTGGAACTTGAACATCCGGTGTGTGGAAGGACCAAGGGGCAAGTGGACAGGAGCACTGAATACATGTGCCCCTGGCCAGTGGGGGCACAGGTGCTTTCTTGCATGGAGCCTTGTGTGTGATCCCTCCCTGTCCAGTGTACTGTGATGCATACTCATTATGGTGCCGGGGACTGCTGGGGACCACTTTCCTGAACACAGTTATGGGGAGAGGTCAAACCAGCCTGTGAGACTCTTCTGATATGTCTCCTTATCACTTTCCCTTGAAACATAAAGTGGGAATTGTCTTTAGAGTGGCATGATTTCAACAAACCTCAACCATAGGGAATATTTATGGGAATTTCTCTATGGGAAAAATGAAGCAATCATAAATAGTGTCTAAGAACTCCTAAATAGCCCTCAGATAGCTACAAAATGCAAACATTCCAGCAGTAGGAGAAAGCTCTAGATGCTCTCTCAAAGTCTCTTCATGTTTATATGCAGGACAGAGGAACATGGTTAAATGACTTTCCCGCCTATCAGATTAAAACCTACACTTGGAGAGAGCAGCAGGCTGGCCCGGTCGAGCCACCAAGAGAAGAAGAGCTGCCAGAGAGCTGATGTGAGAGAAGATGGAGGAACAGCACACACCTCGAGATCACGTTGGCCACGACCACCTGGGGCTGGCAAACACAGTGTCCCTCCTCCCCTCACCCTGCACTCAGCATTCCCCACACCCAGAAGACCATCATCATGGGTTTTCAAATGATGATCCTCAGCCATCGAAAAAATGTTAAATTGGTCTGGTGTGGTTTGTTTAATAAGAGACAGAACTATTTCTTTTTTTCTTATTATTCTTTGAGACGATTTCTTTCCAAAATGGCTAATAAAAAACACTTTATATGTCCAGGGGGGTAGAAGAAGTCAGTTGTGTGGACATTTTATTCATGGGACGGTGTGGGATGAACTCAACATCTCTCTGTAAGCATCCCTTGATGTCTTCCCTTGAAAATATACCAGTAGGAAGTGGTAGTGCCACTTTCCCCCAAGAGATTCAGAGAAAGAATCAGGGGCACCTGTTGAATCCCGGTGGTGCTAGCAGTGCATAGACTCTTGCCACAATGTTGTCAGTGGTGGGGGACTGGCTACTTAGGATGTATTCAGGTATGTTCAATGCGTTAAGTTGGGGTCTTTGTTACTGGTGAAAATTTTTTTCCATGATAATTATAAACTCCGTATTTGTGTATGCTATAAAATTACTTAGAAATCTGAAATTCAGTGGAGTTTTTATTTTTAAAAAGTATGTTTTAAGGAGCCAAATTATTTGAGAATCTCCCAAGATGCTTTCTTTTCTTCTACAATTA